AGATGTAAAACTAATGGACTAAGGAACTGCTTAGTCAAATGTTGTGAGATTCATGAAAAATTTGAATTCTATGCACTACTTATAAATGATAAATTAATGTGCTTGAGAGGATATTGCAAAATGTCCCTGTCCGTACACGCTACTAGTTAACTCGGGCACGTCCCCGGGCCGTGGTAATTGTGGATAGCCGCTATTGTGTTGACAGTCCCACCCAGAAAAGGGTGCACATTACCTAAGTTTTTAAATAGTCTACTCATGTGTGCAAAAGGGCCACCGCTGAAGTAGTACTAAAACGAACCATGGTACCTAAGTGAGTGAACAAGCCACTTATGGTAGTTCGTGAATTAATGGGGCACATTGGTCAGGTAAGGCTCTGTAGCGTCTCAAACTTTTAAGCATCGATGGAAAAATTTACATTTATAATGAGCATGATATGAAATAGTTTGCAAGTTGTGTTTTATGCTTGGTAAATATTTTGTACATTTAAAAACCCGTGAACTCAACAACTCTTTGTAGTTGACGTCGTTTTATGTTTCATGCCTTTTCAGGATATTAAGTAAGAATGGAAGTTTTTGGAAGCATCTTTCGTTGTCATCTGTTCACCAGCTGTATAAACTTTTGTCTGTAAATAAATTTTTCTTTGTGAACAGTAAACTCAATGATGTTGTAAGGCAATTTTTGGATTTTGTACTTAGAAGTGTTATCTATCGATTGGAGCTATGAAATGTTTACTTGTTACGCCTCGTGTTTCCGCTTTAGCAGGGTGTGACATTATTGTATATGTATAATTTTTATAAAGTGTCATGTTTTTTTAACTTTATGAAACTAATTAATAATCAATTGATAGACACGACTAAATACAAGACAAATATTGAATCATACACCAAAATCATCAACCTTTATATTATATATTATATAAAAGGAAAACTTTGGGGTATTGAGGTGACAGCATGAGAATTGTGGTTGAGTTTTACTTGTCTCAAATTGATGAAGAGTTGAAAGATTTGAACAAAATGAAGTGGTGCATTGGATGTCTTTGTGTCAAATCATGGGTTTTGTCTCGTAGGATTGTCTTATTTTAAATGACCCTCTTTAAAATCTATAACCGTGGTTGGGATCAAAACCAATCAAATGATAAAAATTATAGTGCAAAATTAAAAGTGAAACCAAGGATGATTACTTGGCAACATGAGGTTTGAGTGTTCCTTAAATCTTGAAATAAGGTTGATTTTCGTCATTTTACAATGGTGGAAATATGATAGTTTAAAGGAAGACGGTGGATGTATATGAGCGTGATAGATGCTTTGAAGTCTATAACCATGATTGAAATCAAAACCAACCAATTAGTAAAATTATAGTGCAAGACATAATTAAAATATCATGCAGAACACAATGTTAAAAACGAACTATTCGTTTCACAAAATATCAATCAGCTTAACACAAAGCTAAGTTTCATCATCCATATTAGCTGAAAGATTATACTTTGGAAGAAGATGAAGGTTATATAATGGAGTGATGAATGCTTTGAAATCTATAACCATGGTTGGAATCAAAACCAACAAAGTGGGAAAAATATAGTGCAAAACCTAGAGGTATTGCGATAGCAACATGAGAATTGAGTATTCTCAAATGGTGAATTGTGGTTAAGTTTTAGTTGTCCCAGATTGATGAAGAGTTGAAAGATTCTAATAACGTAGTGTGTATAAGAAATTTGAAGTGTATGCCTATGTCTCAATTCATGGGGTTTGCTTCATAAGATTGTCTTATTTTTTATAATCCTTTTTGAAATCCATAGTCATGGTTGAAACCAAAACCAACCAAATCTTCATATCTTTATATATATATATATATATATATATATATAGAGAGAGAGAGAGAGAGAGAGAGAGAGATGAGTGATCATATGAAACCGCCCTCATTTGTGTAAACCGTGCAAACCACCTTCATCTGTCGATTTCATTGTTTAATCTTATGAAATTTTTTCATGAAATTGTTTAATCTTGTGAAATTGTTNGAGAGAGAGAGAGAGAGAGAGAGAGAGATGAGCGATCAAATGAAAACCACCCTCATTTGTAAAAACCATACAAACCACCCTCATACATCGATTTTATTGTTTAATCTTATGAAATTTTTTCATGAAATTGTTTAATCTTGTGAAATTGTTTCATATAATACTTTTTTTTTTGTTGAATTTGTTTCATATATGGTTATGAAATTGGTTCATATAATATTTAATGAAATTTTAATGAAACTGTTTCATGTATTTCTCAAAAATTAAAATAATGAACATGATAATATCCATGATTAATACCCTACACAATAAAAATTGTTAATCAACCTCTCATAATTACAAAAAAAATGAACAAAATAAAAAAATTATGATTGGTTGAATGAGGTTTTCACGGTTTTTACAAATTGAATGGTTTTTATTTGAACGCTCCCCTATATATATATATATATATATATATATACACACACACACACACACATGCATACATATAAAAGGAAAACCTTGGAATTGAGGTGGCACCATGAGAATCGAGTATTCTCAAATAGTGAATTGTGGTTGAGTTTTAGTTGTCTCACATTTGTAAAGAGTTGAAAGATTTGAACGGTGTGTATAAGAAAGATGAATCAGATGTCTTTGTGTCAATTTATGGGGTTGCCACATAGGGTTGTCTTATTTTGGATGATCCTCTTTGAAATTTATAACCATGGTTGGAATCAAAACCAAACAAAAAGTAAAAATTATAATGCAAAATTAAAACTGAAACCAAGGATGATGACTTGACAACATGAGATTTAAGTGTTTCTTAAATCTTGAAATATGATTGATTTTCATCATCTTACATTGATGAAAAACTGATAGTTTAGAAAAAGATAGATGGGTGTATAAAGTATAATAAGGATACTTTGAAAACCAACTAATTGGTAAAATTATAATAACAAATGTTAGTGACTATATAAAAACTATAATTTTTGAAATAATAAATTGAAATCAATATCAGTGAGATGATAAATTGAAATTATAAAGACTACAACCAATCATTTGAACCATAAGATTTTAATATTCTAAATCATGAATTGTAGTATTACTTTGGTTGACCGACATTAGTGTAAAGATAATAGATTACTTTGGTTGACCGACATTAGTGTAAGAAGGGAAGAAAAGAGGTTTGTATATGAACAGAAGAGGGGATGTCTTTTTATTATAAAGGAAGAAGCATATAATGAGATTTTAGTATTTAAAAAAAATCTTGAATTCTAGTATTATTTTGGTTGTCCCAAATTAAAGAAAAAGATGTGTACATGAAAGGAAGAGGGGGCGAAATTTAAAATTTTTAAAAATTTATGGGGGCAGACATCATTTTTTTCAATATTAAAACCTAATGCGAAGATTTGAGGTATTACTTTGATTGTCTTACATTGATGATATTACGTCAACTCCTGGGGTTTGACCATTTGCTTTGTTTTATTTGTATCATCCTTTTTCTCAAAACAATTTTAACCAACCCTCAGTAGAGAGATTTTACAAAACATGACGTAAGAGTATTTAAAACGAATAACAAAGAGTATTTCCGTTATCTTTCTTTTTTCATATGTATAAAACGAATACAAAGAGTATCTAAGGTGGCATTATGAGATTCGAGTATTCTCAAATCTTGCATCGTGGTGTTGTTTCAATCATCCCACATCTTGATTGCCAATTTTAACCGACCATAAGATATTCAGGCTCTTTGTACCAACACCAACACTAGTGATATGGTTGGACAACATATCATTTGAAGTCTTAATAATCAATGTTTTGGAGGAGTTGATAATATGTTTCCATACATCAACTAACAACTTGCTTATCAGTTAGTTCCCCAAACATATTTTGCCGGAGAGCAGCTCAAAATAAGATTCTAAAGAAGTATGCTCCCTCCATTCAAAAGAAAACTAGAAAATTCATTAGCAACAGTATCTACTACCAACTAAAACATTAATAGTCAACATCGACTTACACGTTTACTTACTAGGCAAGAGCCTTATCGATTTCATCCACATGAGCACGGAGTTCTTTCCACTGCAAGCAAGCAAGCAAGCAACGTCATTTTCATAAGACTTAAACAATGGTTCAATCAGGAGAAGTAAGAAGCATCATTTCTTTACCTGATCCATGCTCAATGAGATACCTGGATCAAAGGACACACAATAAACAACATCAGCAATTGCCACTTTTTCTTCCACATACTTTGTTTAACAACTTAATATATATATATATGCACAACACAATTATCAATCATAAAAATAGATAGCATATGAAGATCGGTTAATTAATCATAAAATTGCTAGGCAATGCCAATTGAATAACTGACACTAGATAGAAAAGTGAGATGTTCTCTTTTTCAGTCCAGAGAACAAGTTTATCACCTTATCAACTACTCTAGGTTGTCGTGGTTGAGACTTCATAAGTTCAAGTAACGAATAATTGGCCTTTCCCCATAAGAAACCAACCCATTTATAAAGCAAGGGAGATGAAAGTGAAAGAAAAGAAGACCAGAAAAAGGCATGAATTCATGGGCCGAAGTTTTATTTAAGCATTATAATATGGTGAAGCTGGTTTTGTTATGAGAATAAGATGGGCAGAGTGTCAAGCATGAAAAAATGTTTAAGTAGATCACTGAAAGAAAGTCTCATTAGAATGATAATGTATACTGTATATGACCTGCAGGGGATGAGAGATGATGGAGAACAAAGAGAACCACAACCCTAAAATTGGCAAAAACAAGTAAGGCAACATAACATAGGAAAACATGACAAGACTGGTGGAAAATATACCATAAACTGTGATATCTTGAGAAACAACCCTAGTTTATAACAGTAATTTAGAGGTGTTTGGTTCAAGCAGGGAAATGAAAATGAAAATGAAAATGAAAATGACAGTCCCAAGTTTAATCTGGAATGAAATTTTGGGCTTCTGGGAGATGGGCCCATTATATTAGAAAAAACCAAACAATTTCTTTTATTTTCCATGGAGTGCATTTGAGCAAGGCTAATGCCCTAGCACGAAAGAACAAATGGACCGCATGAAGGGTGATCCTGTGCTTCGGCGATTGGATCCATCATATTTCAGAACCATCATATTTGTACTTATCATTATATGTTATTAACTTGGCCATTGATTTTTTCTTCTTCCAGAACCAGCATCATTTTATAATTGAAAAGCCCAATTTGAAATAAACAGTCATAGTCAACCACATTTCAGACTAACAAAATGGAGAAGTGAGATCAAAACCAAAAACAATTTCTTCCATCCATTTTTCATTGGATCAATTAAAATTATAGTAAAGCATGGTACCAAAGAGTAATTCAAAAATTGAAGCCATAAGAGAACTTGAAGTTTCGGTTTAAGCAAATAAGCCCTAGCTAAAAGAAAGTCGAGCATACAAACCCCAACTAAATTCACTTAAGCATATAAACAATAGTTACAGACTACTTATGATAAGCCAAATCCAAAACCTTAACAAGCAAAAGAAGCAATAAACCCTATCTAAATTCAGGCAACATATCTGAACCCTAGTTAAATTCAATTAGTCATACAAACCCTAGCTGAAGCAAAGTTCAGATGAAATTTAGAAAAAAAAACCTAGTTAAAGACAACCTAAGTAGCGAAATAAGCAAATAAACCCTAGCTAAATTCTTCTTAAGCATATTCAAGTTAAACAAACAAATTGAAAACCATAATTAAGCAAATAAACCACATCTTAATTCAGTTTAAGCATACGAAACCCTAAATAAATAAAGTCCACATTTCATAGACAGGAAATAATAAACCCTAATGAACAGTGGTTAATGTTTATAAATGAAGCAGGAACCTTTTTTGCCAGGCATTTGCTTGCCATCTTTCATGTAGAACTCACGGATATCAACAACAACCTTCCCTTGCCAATTCCTGACAGAAACCCTCCGGTTTTTGGAGACATCGCAGATGAAGATGTCATCTTCGTCACCAGAATCATCAGGGGAATTGTCTTTCTTGGATGTTTTCTTGGGAGGAGCGTGTTTCGAGAAGTAGTCTTCCTCGTCCTTCCCCTTCCCGCGCTTGAATGACATTTCTTTCTCCCTGTCCGTTCTTGTTTGGTACCTGCAAAATGACCACCGCCATTCGTATTTCTTTATTTTAAGAGTAAACTATGTTTTTAGTCCCTCGGTTTGTTGATAGTTAATATTTTTGTCCCTATAATTTAGAATTATTTCTTTTTTTGTCCCTATACTTTACAATTTGTCGCTTTTCTCATCGTTGTGGCTTACAAATTATTTTGTCCCTCTTACTTAACGATAAATCATCGACGATAGTGGCACCAAGGATAAAAACATCGATGAATTGCAAACTACTGAGACAAAAACCGTATTTTCAAAAGTAGATGAAAGAAAGTTACAACTTTTAACAAACCGCAAGCAATTGAAAACAAACAAAACGCAATACACACAATTTATCAGGGAAAGAGACTTGTTCATTATTTATCTAGGTAGCTTCAAAATCGATCAAATTTTTTGCTTACCAACACACACAAATGTTTCTAACATCGTGGTTGGTTGTGAGAGTGGTGGGGGCGAGGAGACGAAGATAGGTTGAGAGAGAGAGAGAGAGAGCGCGCGCTAAGAAAGGGTCAGGGAAGACATCTTGTGGAGAAAAAGATCGGTGGTACATGAGCAGATCTGGATGTGGCTAGAGGTGGTGTTCACAGCAGATAGAGTGGAAAAGAAGGATCATCGTATGATGGCTGATCAACAATGATGGTCGCTAGAGAGGGAACTAGCCGGAGATGGTAATGAAGCTAGCGGGTTGCTAGCGTGGACTGTTGTTTTACATGAACATATTATGATATTCATATATATATATATATATATATATATATATACACACACACATATATGTGTGTAACATTAAAATAATGTTTTGTTGAAAGACAAACAAATTTCATTAAAACACGTATAAAAGAACAAAATACAATTTTGAGGAGATTATTCAAGGTGTAGAAACCAACCTAGACAAACAAAACCAACCAACCAAAGAAGAGAAAAAAGGACATAAACCGAGAAAGACCACAATCAAATGAAGATTATAACACTCGTGATCTCAATGATAATCTATTCATATCCATTGTAACCAAAATTTCTCGATAGCCATGAGGTCCAAGAGATATTAAAGCATTTTGATCGTGACGAAGCCCAGAAAAACAAGAGCATTTGAGTGTCAAAACTATGTCTAAATTATTACAACGTTAGTTACCAATAGAGAATACCACATCATTTCGATTCTCCAAATTACATAAAGAGCAATCTAGACTGTATATTGTGCCACTTCGCGTAATAAAGACGAGGTTACCTGATTAGGAAAATCCAAAATTTCGTTGAGCATCAAAGGGATCGAGGGATATTCCCTACCAACTCTGAAAGCCTTCCCATACCTAATGAGCATGGAGATGAGAAGTCCACCATATTTCATTCGTCCATTGATTGTCTCTTGAGATACAGTGAGGAATTATTCTCATATTAAGACGATCTTTACTCCATTTCCTATCTCGGTCGTTCAGCTTCATTGCCTTTTCACGTTCAGCTTCTGCAATTGAAAGCAACTTAGCTTAGGCCTTGACAACGTTCACCATCTTTTTAGACGATTTCTTTGGAAGAACTTGAGCAGCAAGAGACTTGGCCAGCTTTAGGTTGTCCTCAGTTTGTTGTTCTTGAAGATTGAGTTCTTCCTCAACCTTGAGTGCTTCGAGTCTTTCAGCTTTAGTAAGGTAGCCAAACTCACCACAACTAGAGATACGAAGAGGAATTTTTACTCTAGTTTGGTCAAGTGACTCCTTAAGCTGAGTCATCTATTGGTCGTTATGAACACTAGAAGTTGGGTTTTCAAGTACCCATTCCTCTGGACGACCACATGTAGTAGAAGGGAGAGAAGAAGAAAGTTGACATAAGTGATGGGAGCTAGATATTGTATCTCTACAATACTAAGTGGTAACACATGCAAGTATACACGTGTCGACACTATCACAATCAAGTAATAAAATGGTAAGAACCAAGTATCGTATTCCACAAGGATAGGTATTTTAAGTTGCAAGATCTCAAGTTGAAAGACTAACTTTAGATAGCGAATTTGAAGACTTTGATTTGTTACTGAGTTAATAAATGCAAATAACAGAATAAACAAAGGTAGCATAGGTGTAAGACTAGTGGTGGAGACTCAAACACGAATTCCAGTAGCCAATGATGTAGGGATGCTACAACAAGCAGTTATTCATAACTTAGTTCCACCATCTATTTTGAGGGTATTCCTCTCGGACATTCATCATTGTACTATATTATAGCTTTCAACCCATATCTTTATGTGGTATCCAAACTAGGGATATTGACGAATGATGTTCTCAAAATATATGGATAAACAAATCTTTTTGTTAAAAATCACTCTCTCGAGCCGATTCCCATATCATTCATGTTGGCGTGTGTTCTAGGTAGTTCATCTCTGAATCTACCGCACTTTAACACTTTTACAAGTGATCAACCTGTCAAGAATTAATTGTTTTAAAAGATATAAATGACAAGTCTCCTTGTCGGCAACTTTCTCAAGTCTACCTTTTATATCACTCAAGTTGACGTGCATTCAATGGCTTATGTCTAATACCATGATACTTTAACACTTTCAAAGTGATCAACTCGTCAAGAAGTGTCTTTGGTTTGTATAAAAACTTGAATGAAATAATGGAACGTCGTAATTGCAAACAATAACTACATTCTTTCTGTTTAAAATCTCACCCTTTCGTCTCACACCCAAGCTATAAATCTAACTACTCATAACGGAAAGTAAATGACAAGTAAAATAAATGACGAAAAATAAAGACATAAATATAAATCGCGGAAAGTAAATGACGTAATGTAAATACTGGAAAAATAAAAGAGCGGAAAGTAAATAATGGAAAATAAATGACGGAAAGTCAAGAACAATCTTAAAAGCAATTAAGAAACTTAAATTTCTTCAAGGTTTAGAGAGAGAAACCAGCTTTTAGGAGATTTTTTGGGATGTCTCAAACAAGAGTCTCCTCACTCCTATTTATACAAAAACAAGTCACAAAGTGACAAAATGGAGAATCAAAGGGTAAAACCACAAAAAGGTAACTAGGAAGTACATATATGAACTAGTTAGTTACACATTTTCAAACAAAAGTTTAATAATTTTTACATCAAAAGTCAGCAGCTCAAAATCTTCTAGAATCCAAAAAGAGCCAGCAACTTATCCCATTAAGATCTTCAATAAGCCAAAAAGCATCAGGTCGCTGCTGCATCAATGCTGTAGTGTCAAACGCTTCAACAATTTTTTTACATTAGACTCCACTTGGTATAGAACCAAGTAAACCACATAATTTAGCTCCATAATTAATAAAAAGAAAAATAAAGTAATGACTCAATATAGAGATAAAAGGAAAACAATCTAGCTAATAACTTGTAAAATGAGTGTTCTATACATTGAATTCTCAATGTATATCACACCCCCAAACCTAAAATGTTGTTTATCCCCAAGCAACCAAAAGACAAACAGAAAGACTCTATTTGAAAAAAAAATATGCATGATCAAGGCATTAAGTGCACATACAATGAGAGGTATACCAATTATGAAGTTCATAGCCTTTCATAAGTCCTTGATAAGTCACTCAAAACAAAGTTTTTGTATGAACCATAAGCTAGCATTACCCTTTTCTTTGTTAAGCTCAAACACAATCATATTCGTAGGATCAATATGGCTTAAAGGGTCACTCCATTGGCATGTCTTTTCTCTCATAGTCTTTTTCTTTTTCATGCTCCACATTCAATTTTTCTTAATTATGTGCACTTTGTGCTCTTTTGTTGGGAGTATGCACATAGCCCCTATGGGACTTTGTTGTGCTTTGAAAACCTTCTACAATAAGGAATCAAGTTAGAGCTTTGCTCTTTTGTCTTGATCTTTTATCCATATAAGATAACCCTCCCCCAAACATGAATAAGACAATGTCCTAATTGGATTTTGTGGGGAATATGGTGTTTGAAAGGTGCAAGTGGCAGCTATGAACACAAAAAAGAAGGCCTATGTCATTTCCTAATGAAGTGTAGATTGTGTGAGCAAAGTGTTGTCCCAAAAAGAGTTTTGCTAGTTCTAGCAAGAACAAAGTAACCTAGGTGAGTGACAAGTAACCAAAGAATTATTTGGGCTATGATTTCATAGTTAACTACCTTCACATCATGTAATCATGCAAGAAAATAAAAGTAAAAGCTATAAAAACTATCCCAAAATCTAAAAAGAAAAATATGGAGACTAAAGGTAGTGATTTGAACCTGTCCTACTCCATAGGAGTAGGTTGTGGTGTTATTTTTGTTGTTGGAATGAATGTTGCAGCACCAGAAGCTGTAATTCCTTCTTTTTTAGCATGGTGTTCTCCTTTTTTAGCAGCTGAATCTCTTGTTAACAACTTCTTGAAGAATGGTGGAATTTGCTGGAGCACATCAGTATGTTCCTCGACCGAAATCGTCCTCACCAACTCATCTTGGTGTTTCTCTTTCCACTTATGCTTAAATACTTTCCTCACCACTTGCTTCACTCCTTGATCACGATAAAATATTTTAATGGCACAAATGGGGGAACATTTCATCCCATAAAGAGTTCTCCACATCACCTCACCAACAGTTGAACATGACTTTATGGAGTCTCCCGAGTCATTGGATTTATCATCACGTTCCTTTTTAAAAATAACTTGAAGGTTTTTTTGCACAGCTTTTCTGCAGAAACACTACTGTATTTGCAACAATATGTTTTTCCTTCACAACATCAAAGCATGGGTCAGTGACAATCTTGGCATTTTGTTGCACCTCTTCACTATTTTGAAGTGAAGAGAGGTTGCTCAACTGCTCAGATGTTTCCTCGGAACTCTCAATCTCTTGACTATTTTTCAAAATATTAACCTCACTCTCATCCTTACCAACACACTCAGATTTTTCAATATCACTTGGTATAAGAATTTGGGTTTGTCTTTCATCCTCATGAAGGATCTCTCCAACATAAGTTGTGATATTGGCAACAAACATGTCTCTTAGTGAGTGTTGCATCTTTAACATACTTTGCAT